AAGCCGCCGATATTACCAAACATCACGTTTGTACCGACTTGTAGAGGACCTAGCCGTGTCTGAAACGACGTTTGCGGCACCGTTGGCGCTGGAAAGAGCCCCAAGTGAAAAGGCACCACTGGCAATGATGAAGGTCGCACCATATCTGACTTCAGGGTCGTCACTGGCAAGAAACATTATGTACCCGACCATCACAAACGGAGCGCCAAGGATAAAGAATAGCAAGCAGCGATTGAATTTCCAGCTGAGGAAAGGGAAAAGTACAGTAAAGAAGCTCCCAACGAGGTAAGGAGGAACGGTATGGAGTTGCTGAGAAATGACACTGCGGTCAGGATAAATTGTTTTGACGATTGTCGGGGCAAAGAATGCAAGCCCCTGGACAGTGATGTTGTTCAGCAGGAATATGAATGCGGTAACCAGGGTGACAGGGCCGAAAATTCCACGGAGGGTCTTGCGGGTGTCCAGCTTGTCCAGGACCTCAGTGACTCCGACTCGCTCTGATTTAATACGAGCAATGGCAAGGTCCTTCTCTTCCTGGGTCAGCCAAAGAGCGGTAGCTGGACAGTCAGTCAAAGTAAAGAAGCCAATGATAGCGAGGCCGCAGGTGATGATCCCCTCAATCGCAAATATCATCCTCCATTCATGAAGACTACCGACGTTTGACAATTTCAAAATCGCAGAGGCAAGAAGTCCACCAAAGGCGCCGGCGAGTGGAGCCATTACGATGTAAAGAGACAGGCGGAAGGTCAATTCGCTTTTCCTGTACCACCTAGACATGTAGTATGCAATTCCCGGTAGCATACCTGCCTCGAAAACTCCAAGGACAAAACGAACACCACAGATTTCGTGAATATTATGCACAAAAGCGGTAGCTATGGAAGTAATTCCGAAAGCTAGCGAGATAGCTGGTAAGTACCATCCGGGGCCTATCCATTTGCAGGCCATGTTGGACGGGATCTCAAAAATGATGTAAGAGATATAAAAGATCGAGAGAACCGTATTATAGTCATAGTGTTTCAGGTTAAGATCTCTCTCCAGGCCTGCGAGCTTCGCGTTGCCTACAAGTCATTGAGTATGAGATGGTGGAAATAAAAAATCCAGGTTAATAAAGCAGACACCAAAAAAAGCGCAGTGCAGCGCCTACCTATATTTGCGCGGTCAATGAAGCAAAAAAGGTAGAGAAGAGCCACAGTAGGGACGACAAACAAATCGATTTTCCAACGAAGTCTGGCTTCGGCAGCTAGGTCAAATTGCACCAGCGGGCGTCCGTAACTATACATATAACTAGTCAGTTTGTAACTAAAGAAGCAAAACAATTTCCGTGAAATTTTGGCTGGATATGTATTTACTGATCTGTGGCAGCTTTGCCACTCTCCGCCACATAGCGAGCTGTTTCTACAGTTGCAGTTTCAGTGCATTTGGCGCATGCTGGAGAAGGTGGGCAGTCAACTTTCTGATCAAGGAGGGCGCCCATTTCCACTGCTCAGTAGGCAAATGACATGGCCAAAAAGACATCAACAACAAAGGAGATGGCGTACAGACAATTAATATAGCCCTCGTGGGGGATCCTCCTTGGACCGAGCCGGACGTCGGTAACAGGAGTTCCAAGGAAGACGAACCATATTAATGGACGTTAGTGGACGCCAATAATGGAACCTTTTTTGGGCATGATGATTTTGCAAGGCCGAGCTACCTAGTCGACTTGTCAGAGGTGATATCTCATACATGGGACGTTTCAATATACGAAACTGAGTATTACCCTTCTTATATGATTGAGCATTCTCTGGTCTATAAATACTGCCTAGTTATCATGTAATTATTAGAGGGAGAATAATCAATTCAATTTTATCTATCGATATTCAGTATTTGGGTCAATATTCGGACTTTATCCAGCTTCGACACGACTGCATGAATATATGTACAGTTCATTTGTTGTTGATGACGTCCCGAATTTCAACTAAATTCTTCAATTGCTCAGGGCGATATCCAGTCTATTACTCTCTAATATAGCAGAATTCACAAGGGCTGTCACCAGCTTCGAAGCAGAAAAGCGTCCCTGGTGATGGGATGGGCAGACTACATTCGATCCAGTGACAAGGTGTGTATTCATGCGTTCTTGTTTGTGGGCGATGATGGGTCGCTGCCGAGTTTTCGGGATGTCAAGTGCGAGATATGCCATGCCAGAGGTGTGGTGCATTGAGGTTTTATTATATATAGATACCAGTAGTTAAGGTTAACAGACGTTTGAACATGGTTCAAGTGTTCGCCGGCTACACCGCATAATTATTAATAGAATTTTACATCCATGAGATAACTGCTGCCAACAATGCTTCCATGCTCCAATAGTTTCTGCTCTGTTATTTGGGGCCCCTTTTCCTATTGATAATAATACTTCATCCAGAGCCACTAGGGCTTAATTAGGTTAAGACCGGATGAATTCCCACGCCAGAGCCTCCATTGAACATTGTATATATTGTAAACACAGTGTTGAATATAGTGATGGGTCTTTTCCTCTTGAACAGTGGTGCCTGGACAATCCCTCTCACACTGCTTTTTGAATGGGAAAAGCTTAAGGGTAGGAATATTTACATGACATCGATATCAATCAATGTCATTGTTGCTGCTGTATAACAGGAGACTGCTTACTGCTTACTCCATCTCCATTTGTG